ACTTGCACTCGCCCAGATCTCGCATACTCTCTCAGCATCCTGGCTCGCTTTGTGGCCACAGGCAGACACCGACCTCAGCACTGGTCTGCCGCTAAGAGGGTTCTGCGTTATCTTGCTAGTACATCGGGCATGGGGTTAGTGCTAGGAGGACGCAGGCCAGCGGTCCTTACTGGGCACACAGACGCTTCGTGGGCAGACGACGCTGAGACACTCCGGTCTACCCAGGGCTACTGCTTCAGCCTTGGCTCAGGTGCCGTCTCGTGGAGAGCTACTCGCTCCTCGTCTGTTGCACAGTCCAGCTGTGAGGCTGAGATCTACGCCGGTGCCATGGCGGCACAGGAGCTCCGCTGGCTGACCTTCTTGCTCACTGACTTAGGTGAGCGGCCTAGCTCTGCCCCGGTCCTGTTCGCTGACAACAGGGCCATGATCCTCTTGTGTCAGGAGCCTCGACTCGAGGGCAGAGCAAAGCACATTCAGCTGCGGTACTTCCTCCTGCGTGAGCTACAGCAGCGACGTCAGGCTCGCGTAGTACACTTGGCCTCAGGTGCCAACACGGCTGATATCTTTACGAAGGCGCTTGCGCCTAAAGATCATCAGCGACACTGTGTACAGCTTGGTCTAGTTCCTGTAGCCTCTCACTTGCTAGGACCTTGACTTTGTACTGTCCTTTATATGTATACTCAGACTGGACTTGTGTCCTATCCCAGTGGCTGGACTAGTAGTGCCGCCCTGCTCTTGTGCTTGCCTTGTCTGTACTCCTTCTGACTGGTCGCTCAGACCCTTGTCTCAGAGGTTGGACTAGTAGTGCCGCCCTGAGCTGTTTGTTTAGGACTTTCCCCTATGCAGTCTAGGGGGTGTGTCAAACATGTCTATGTGTTATGTTTGTATAGACTGTATAGGGTAGCCTCTTAGAGGGTACAACACTTAGCTATATTGTGTGTACTCTCTCTGTATCACTAACACTTCTATTTCTAATAGGAGTGACTATTTCGGCGGGTGTTATATCCAGGGGATTACGGTAGGAGCTCAGCTGGCTGGCCTTCTTGCTCACTGACTTAGGTGAGCAGCCTAGCTCTGCCCCAGTCTTGTACGCTGACAACAGGGCCACGATCCTCCTGTGTCAGGAGCCTCGACTCGAGGGCAGAGCGAAGCACATTCAGCTGCGGTACTTCCTCCTGCGTGAGCTGCAGCAGCGTCGCCAGGCGCGCGTAGTACACTTGGCCTCCGGTGCCAACACAGCTGATATCTTTATGAAGACACTTGTGCCTAAAGATCATCAGCGGCACTATGTACAGCTGGGTCTCGTTCCTGTTGTTGAGTGACCCGCTGGGGTTGCCCTTGAGATTCTCGGGGAAGGGCCACAGGTGCAGAGCCTGGGGGGCTATGGGCGCACTTACCCGCTATTCAACAAGCCCTTTTAACCCAGTGGTTAGTGACTGGGTTTCTGACATGGTACATCAGAGCTAAAGGTCTTGGGTTCAACTCCCAGTGCCAGCGCTGCAGAGGCGCTCGTGTCTTCCACCTATCCCAACGGGGGGGGGGGTGTTGAGTGACCCGCTGGGGTTGCCCTTGAGATTCTCGGGGAAGGGTCACAGGTGCAGAGCTTGGGGGGCTATGGGCGCACTTACCCGCTATTCAACAAGCCCTTTTAACCGAGTGGTTAGTGACTGGGTTTCTGACACCTGTAGCCTCTCACTTGCTAGGGCCTTGACTTTTTACTGTCCTTTATATATATATTTTACCCAGACTGGTCTTGTAGCCTCTCCCAGTGGCTGGACTAGTAGTGCCGCCCTGGGCTTGCTCTTGCCTTGTCTGTACTCCTTCTGACTGGTCTTTAGACCCTTGTCTCAGAGGCTGGACTAGTGGTGCCGCCCTGAGCTGCTTCTTCCCTTGTTAGGCACTGCCCCTATATAGTCTAGGGGGTGTGTCAAATGTAACTTAGGTTGTTACTGTAGACTATACTAGATTGTGCCTTAGTACAACACCCTAGTCTATATATCCTTGTACACACACATTTTAGTTCAATCATTTTCTTTCTGATAATAGGTGCAGAGCCTGGGGGGCTATGGGCGCACTGACCCGCTATTAACAAATAGAGCAATTCTTCTCACCAGAGAATGTTAAGACCTAACAAAGATTGGACGGTCATTTAGAAAGGGCAGCTATGTCAGGGGATTCACCTAAAACCTTCATCATGTACAGCTATGGGCTACCAATTGGGAGCATTGAAATAAAGGAGACAGGAAGTGCTGCAGCCACAGCCACAGCCTTAGGCCAGTCTGGCCTACTTCTGAGCTTCTCTGGTGGCCTCAAGCAAACCCGTCTCCTCATCCGCTTGTTGTGCTTGCTTTCTGGCTGCTTCCTTAGCGTTCATCTCCTGTGGAAGTGGGAGCAAGGGGAGTCACGGAGGTGGGAGGGAGGAATGAGGACCACATAACAAGCCCGAAAACAGTGTGTCTGTACGGCATGACAGGGAAGATGGATATGGCTATGCGATGAGTTAGTTTCCAGACGGTTCCGCGCACGTACCTGCATCTTAACGTGGTTGTACCAGCACACGCCCGCGAACGCTAGCAGGTACCCGAGCAGGTTGAACGTGGTGATCTTATCCGCGATAACGGACCACGAGAAGGCGATGAGCAGCCAGTCCTTGATGATCCCCGCCACGTTCATCGTCAGCGCCGACGTCTTCCCGATCAGCAGGAACACCGAGAGGTTCAGCGCAAACGCGCACACGCAGTTCACGCCGAACACCATGATGCTGGGGTGCGCGCCCGCCGCCATGACCGGCAAGAGCTTGGGGAACTCGACGAGGAACCAGGGCAGAGAGAGGAAGAGCAGGCAGACGGGCGAGATGTAGTAGAGGCTGGTGATGGGGTTGAGCGAGATGCCCTTGGAGTTGAGCAGGATCTGGATGAGCACCAGCCGCGTCGCCTCGAACGCGACGGCCGACAGCTGCAGCAGCACGCCCGTCAGATTGAAATTCGCCTCGCTCCACGCGCTGATGGCGACGCCGAAGGAGATGAGCATCATGTTGGAGAAGGTCGCGGTGCGGAACGTGTCCTTGCGGAAGGCGACGCCGAGCAGGTAGACGGCGACGGGCATGAGCGCCTTGAGCATCTGGATGAACGAGACTGACAGGTAGATGTACGCCGAGTTGGAGAACCACAGGCTCAGCGCGTAGAGCGCGCCGATGGGCACGACGCACGTGAAGTACGTCTCGGGCTTGAGCCCGCCCGGCAGCGGCGGCACCACGCGGAAGACGTTCACGAGGAGGAAGGCGAGCGAGGAGCAGAACGCCATGTGGATCATGGTCAGACTGCGGAAGAGAGAGGGGGGAGTGGGGGTTGGGGGGGGACGGGAGGGAGAAGGATAGGGCGATGAGGACGAGGGCGAGAATTGGAACCTGGATTCTGGCGGCTAGTGCTATTGGGGCAGCAAGGATAAAAGGCGGCAACATGCGGAAGAGGCGGTTCTCAGAGTGGGAGCTGCAGGCAGCAACTGCATAGGGTGGCGGCACGAAACAGTTGCATACTCTACTCTTAGCTTTCCTTCTCTTTGCTCCTCCAGCTTCTCTCGAGCTGGCAATGCCGTCGCGAGCTCTACCGGTTGGATTATACGTCTATGGACAGGAAGTTTGATCGAAGGGTGCTGTAACAAAAAGAGCCACGCACCTAGGCGAGTCCTCGTGCGTCCAGGTTTCTACAGCTGGGCTCGTTCGTCAATTGTACTGTTAGAGGCCCGAACTACGTTATCAAGTTTCTCCGTTCCAGGATCCCAAAAGCTCACCTGATGGGAAATGGCCAGTTGAGTAGTCTCCGGTCGAGAATGTACTTGTTGAAGATAATAACGGAGAAGCTTAAAGCGATCCAGAGCACCACACTGCCCCCCATGATCATCTTCTTCGCCAGCAAGCTCTGCTGCGCGGGCTGCGTGCTGCTCGGCGTGGTCGACATGGCGACGATGGCGGTCGCAGGAGGAGTGCGGATGGAGGACAGGTTTGGGAGACGGGAGAGCTGAATCGAATGGAGCCTTGTGTGAAGCTACACTGGGATGGCTCACTCAATCGACGGAATTCTAGCGGGATGGTTGAAGCATGGAAAGAGTGCGGTGAATAAGCCTTAACAGAATTGATGGTTAATGGAGGCGGCGAAGTGAAATAGTAGCAGGCGCCCGTTAGCAGCAAGAACGTTGTTGCCGCTCTTGAGGGCTGAACTGGAAGGTTTGGGTGAGGTGAGAACTGGAGCTGTGAAATTCCCGTCAGCCGTGACCGCTTTTGTGGGGATGGTCTGTGCTGTGAGGGAAAGCAATTTCCGGTGGGGCTAGGATGGGCCCTAGAGGGGACAAGTCGAGACGGGCGGAGAGGAAGTGAGCAAGGGAGGCAACGAGGAGCCGAAGCCGGAGAGGGGCCGCGTCGCGAGTTGAGGACTCACGTGTCAATCACCGTCGAATCAGGGTCCGTTTCGCGTGGGCCCGAATAGTCAGAAGCACCACCGAAGCAGAGGCTAGGGCTCAGAGGGCCCATCTCATTGGTGTAGTTTGGGTTTGGGCTTGTGACTAACAAGCCACACGACAAGTCCGTGGTTCGTTTTAGCTCGGGTACGTTGGGAGGGTGCCAGATAGAGTTTTTCCACAGCGTAGGATGATCGGTTCGGATTTTCTGAGCCTGCCACGCATCATCACCTGTCTTGTCAATGTGACTGTTGTCTGGACTGGGGGGGGAGTACGTAGGGGCCCGCCTCCCCAGGGCAAAGAAAGGTTCGGTCTCGCGCCTGTCGAGCTCGGGGGAAACGAAGGTTCGGACTAGGCCGGCGCGACAGCCTGAACCTAGCTTCGGAAACCGAAGGCGGATATAGGCAGGGTTTGGGGGGGAGTGATTCGCGCCTAGGCCCTCGTCAACGGTTAGGCAGAAGTTTGTTCCTTGGTTGCAGCGACAAACTGCTGAGACTTGGTGTCTGGTTTGATATATGCACGCACACTTAAGAATAGGAACTTAAAAATAAGAAGCGATGGTACATACAAAGCCAATCCAAACCATTTGCTCCCACAGCCAGAGCAGCCCTGCAAAATTTTCCAGAAACCTCTAAGGACATTTTTTTACAAGCACAAAAATCAACGTCGTGTTCGACAGCAATGCAGTGATGTCTGAAATGTTTCTGGCAACATTGTAGCCATGCTACGTTGCTTTGGGAGGTGATACTGAATGCACTAAAGCCCCAACTCTCTCCGCAAAAGCAGGTGAAGTGATGCGTTTCCCCGGCACATGGAAAGGGTTGGAGGTGGCATCAACATATGCAGAATGAAGGCGCTTGAAGAACTGATTAGGGGGGGGGATGAATGGGTGGGGGCAAGTTTGGTGTGGAAGGGGGGTTGGGGTGTGAGGGATTAATGATGGGCGGAATGCATGGGATGAGGCAGAATGCATAATAAATAGATCAAAACAATGCCACCATGGAAGCTTCAGAACGTCTCCAGCGCATACTTGCCCCAGCAAGCAACCTCCTGCAATCTCTGCCTGCAGAGCCTGAAGTATTCCTCAAAACTCCACATGCATTTGCATTCTCTCCTGGAGAGGATTGTATGAAAAGTTTCCTTACATTTCTTATGTCGCTCTCCCTCAAATCGAGGCCATCAACGACAATTATGAATTTGATCTGGGTGTTGCTCACATAGCCATACCTGAGGGCCAGGCAGGAGAGAAGGCATTTGGAGGATAAAAAGGGAGCGTGGAAGGCAGGGGGGGGAGGTCGGAGGAGAAGGAACGGGGAGATGGGCAGTGAAAAGGTCGAGTGAGTGGGTCAGGAAACAGGTAGACGGATGGATGATGAATTGATACAGAGAAACACCTCAGATAGAAAAAATCAGCGAATCAACTGTAGAAAAATACAGCGCGGATGATGCACATGCTGTCATACGCATGCCAGGCATAAATAACGAAGGCGTGTGGCATGCGGTGTTGCTTCTCGCTTACACTCTGTAGTCTTCCGTGGGATACAGCAAGCCTAGGTAGGGTTCATTGGCACCCCCTCTGCGGGGCGTTGATACTGGAAAAGCGAGCCACGGAGGGGGGCGGGGGGAGGGGGGGGGGGGAGAATGGGTGGAGTAAGGGGAAGCACGTGAGGGGAGACGGAGGAAGGGAGAGAAGGGATGGAAGGGGAGAGGAAAGAAGAGTGGGAGAGCTGAGGGTTATAGAGTAGTGGGGACGAAGTGGCGCCCGAACAAACAAGCAAATGGAGGGACTCCATCTCACCACGCTCATCGATGACGTCGAGCGAGCAGTGCACGATGAAGTGGAATTTGAGCGGGTCGTCCGCCTCCAGAAAGCTCTGCAGGTACAGCGGGTTGTTCTGGGGGATTGGGGGGGAGGTGGTGGGCACAGCGGGGAGACATGAGATCGAGGATGGGGGGGAGAGAGAGGAAGGGGAAGAGAGAGAGCGATATGGAGGCAGTGAGAGGGAAGGCAGGGGCTTAGTGGGGGAGTCGCCGGGGGGGAGGGGGGGAAGAGGGAGGGATGTGGGGGAAGGGAGGGAGGGGCAGAGAGGGTGAGAGAAAAGAGGGGCAAGCAACAAGAAGCGGAATGAGGGAGAGGGAAGAAACGGGGCGGTTTGAGAATGGAACCTTACCGCCTGCCCCACGATGCCCACGCACACTATCATCGCCGCCTCGCCCGCTGATCCGATCCCAGGAGAGAAACGTCACGCCCGTAACACTCGAGACGGCCGTAGCCTTCGCGACAGCTGAAACGAAGACAGGCGAAGAACGCGCGGCCGTGGTAACCGGTGCAGCTGCAGAGCGGGACGAGAAGGAGACGGACGTACAGGTGAGTAGCTACCCAATCGAGCGCGCCCCACCCAAACGATTCGATCACGCTGGTGGATTTGTTAAAATTCGGGTGATTAGAAACATTTGCACTCGGACTGGGTGTCTGCTAAGCAGGAGAGACGTACGAGAGACGGATGCTCGAGACGACGAATCGACAGGGATTGCTCTGAGAAGCCGAGTCAGGCTATTTCGCGAGCTAGCAGTAATTTCAACTATTCTGCACTGCCTGCTTGCTGCGTCACGGCACAGGTCAAAGGCGAGTCGAGAGCCGATAAGCCATTCAGCGATTCAGCCGATCAGCGGCGATTCAGCGAGCGGCCATCCAACTAGTTAGTGACACGAGGTAACGCGGGTCGTTCTGACACTAGGTACGCTGCTAGGCGCTATTGCCTATGGCTTCGACAGGGCGTGATGTGCGGAGTGGTCGCTGCAGGCAATGAACCTAATGTTTGGGTGAGTCCAAGACCTACCGTACTGCATTCCTCTGTACCGCGGAATTAGCCCCACCTTCTTACCTTGCATGTGTCTGATATAGTTGCATCTTGCAAGCACGCATGTACATATCTCTAATGGATGCCACTTCATAAATTTGTGTAAACCTTCAAATCATGTCCCAGTGGGAGGCTGTACTGTACAGCCGCAAACATGCTATAGCTTCCACTCATACTAGAGATATTTGGATTAAAGACCAGCAAATTATATGTCTGTCAACTTATACATATTGCATATGTAAAGTTATAGGTTATAAGGGCTCGTGCTCTTAGAGAGTACAACACCCAACCATATGTTCCTCCGTATCCGTCATTTCTAGTCATTCTGCTATTCTAACATGGTATCATAGTAGGTTAGGTCCGCCCACCCGCTTCCGCCCCTTGCCCTAGCCTACCACCCCATCGTACCCTAGCCTTACTGCGCCCCGCCGGCCCCTCGCGCACCCCGCCGGCCCCTAGCGAGCCCGCCGACCCTTAGCGCAGCGCCGGCCCCTCGCGTACCCCACCAGCCCCTAGCGCGCCTTGCCGGCCCATAGCGCCCCGCTAGCCCCTCGCGTGCCCGCCTGCCCCTCGCGTACCCCGCCGGCCCCATCGCGTGCCCGCCTGCCCCCCGCACACCTCGCTGGCCCCTCGCGTACCCTGCCGGCCCCTCGCGTACCCTGCCGGCCCTTCGCGCGCCACGCCGGCTCTTCGCGCTCGCCGGCCCCTCGCGCGCTCGTCGGCCCCTCACGTACCCCGCCGGCTCCTCGCGTACCTCGCCGGCCCCTCCCTTGCCCGCCGGCCATTCGCACCTCGCCAGCCCTTAGCGCCCCGCCGGCCCTAGACGCCCCACCAGCCACTCGAGCGCCCGCCTGGCCCTAGCGCTCCGCCGGCCCTTTGCGCCCCGCCGGCTCATTGCGCCTCGCCGGCCTACTGCGCGCCCTGCTCGGCCTTTTGTCTGGTCTTCCCGCCGGAGAGTCCTGCCGCCACGCCGCTGTGCCGCCGTGCCGTTGTGCCGCCGTGTTGCTGTGCTGCCTTGGAGCTGTGACGCTGAGGTTGCACGATGGCGAACGCCGTACTCCGCCTGGACGCGGAGGGGCACGCCATCGACTACGCCGCCTGGCTTGTCGATCTTCGCCGGCACCTGACAGGTCTGCGCCAGGATGGGCACTCCATGGCTATGCATGTTGATGGCTTGCTTCCCCGCCCCCCCGAGCCTGATCCCCTCCCTGCTGACCCCACTACTGCTGAGCGTGAGGCCTTTTCTGCTGCTGCGCTCACTCGCGCTGTCTGGGATTCCCGTAATGCTGTAGCGCAGTTCGCCATTAATCATGCTCTTCCCCTGTCTGAACGTCCGCGATTCACTGCTGTCGCGAACGCCAAGGATTTCCTAGATGCAGTAGTTGCGCGCTACTCCACACCCGCCTCTGCCTCTGCCGGCCGCTTGATCCTCCCCATGCTATTCCCCGATCATTTCGTTTTTCCCACTATCGCTGACCTCGCCACTCACCTCCGTGCACTAGAGACTAGCTACCACCCAGCTCAATGCCGCCCAGCTCACTGCCTTACCCCTCGCAGTTCTGCGCTACCCTGTACCTAATTGCCATGCGCCTGCCTGACCACTTAGCCACTGCCCGCGACCACTTCCTTCGCCAGCACCCTGGTGACCTCACCCTAACTGTCTTTGTCACTACCCTCTCTGGGATAAAGACTCACCAGCGCACCATCGCTCAGTCGAGCGCTGTTGCGGCAGTCCCTGCCTTCCAGGGCTGTGCTTCCTCCCAGTGCACGTACGCTGACGTTTCTGCCGCAGTCGCTACGGCTGCCCCTACCGCTGAGACCGCAGCTGCGGTGCTCCCACAGCACAACAGCGTTGGGGCCATCATGTCCCCAAGGGAGGGCATGGTGGTAGTGTTGGTAGTGGTAGTGGTGGTGGCGGGGACTGTGGTTCGGACGAGAGGGTTGGGCTGGTGTCCAGGAGCAGCAGCAGCTGCAGCCGACGCATCAGCAGCAGTTGTAGCAGCAGCAGCAGCAGCTCGGCGTTTATCGGCAGCTTCAGTGCTGTGAGCTGCCAGTACCAGCTCTAGACCGGCCCCCTCCGTGGCACTGTGTGCCGCCGCCCGCACCCGACCACCCGCTGTTTCCGCCGCCTCGACGACCTCTTTCGTCGCCGCTTCGGCCCGGCCCCGGACCTCCTTCACTGGCCTAGTCTGCTATGCTACGGTATGCCTGATTTTGAGTTAGACATGGATAAGATTAGTTCTGCCCTTCATTCTCTGTATGTTGACGCTTCTAGTGTGTCCGGATCTTATTACTCTATGTTCTCTAGCTTAGGCGTAGCACGTGTGTGTAGTCCAGACTCCCCTGCTGCATCAGGCGTATGACCGTTTGCCCTGTCTAGCCTAGGCTCAACACTTGCTCCTTTTTCGACTACCACTACTGCTTCGCTGTCCTTCACACCTGACTCCAGTGCGTCTGCCTACTTCTTCCGTGACCACGCCACACTCACGCCGCTTGCCGCGCCTGCCACTGTAGCACTTGCTGACCCCTCATCTGGTCCTGTTGTTGCTCGCAGCTACATCACCCTTCCCTATCCAGCGGTCCCCTCGGGTTCCCTTACAGGCTTGCACATCCCTTCGTTCTCCAGGAAATTAGTTGGTGTCGGCTGTCTTCAGGACCGCGTATGTTTCCTGGTCACGAGCGGTACGCTGCTTGTACCGAGGCCGCCTTATGTGCCCCCCTTGCGACGTTCCCCCGGGACCCGGTGTCTGACCTGTTTACGTTGGACACTGCTTCCCTCTCGGTGGGCGCATCCTCCCCGGGTCCTGCGTCTAACAAGGTCCCTGCGGTTTGCTTGTGTCGGACGCTGACTCACCCGTCGCTTCTGTAGCACCATCGCCTAGGTCACTCCGCACTCCCGCGTCTGCGTCACATGTCTCAGCACGGTCTCGTCCTAGATCCCCCTGCGTCACTTCCTGCCCTTCCTCTCTCGCCTGCGCTGCCATGCAGGCCCTTCGTCAAAGGCCGGCTGCGCCGTGCTCCTCACTCCTCCACGCTTCGCCCTGCCACCGCACCCCTCCAGACCCTGCACCTGGACGTCTGGGGCCCAGCCCCCGTCCGTGGACCGCGTCGCGAGCGCTACTTTCTCGTGCTCGTCGACGACATTACGCGCTACTCCACGGTGTTTCCCCTGGAGCGGAAGGCCGATGTGCCCAACGTTATTATCCCGTGGGCCGTAGCTGCGCGCATCCACCACGGTCTCCCTGTGTTGTGTCTCCACTCCGACCGTGGCGGCAAGTTTGCCTCGGTCGGCTTGGACAGTTTCTTCATGCGGAGGGCATCACCCATTCGTACACCTTACCGGACTCCCCGCAGCAGAATAGGGTCGCTGAGCGACGCATCGGTTTGGTCATGGTGGTGGCTCGTACCTCCATGATCCATTCCGGTGCACCCCATTTTTTGTGGACGTTCGCCGTTCGCTACGCCGCTCACCAGCTTAACCTGTGGCCGTGCTCCCAGCGGCCGCAGGTTCTACCGACCCTTCTTTAGACCGGCTTCCCTGATGACGCGTTCGCATTTCACGTCTTAGGCTGCCTTGCCCACGTTCGTGCCTCTGGCACGGACAAGCTCACAGCCCGCACTATCCCCTGTTTCTTCCTCGGCTTCCCCCTTGACTCGTCTAACTGGCACTTTTACAACCCGTCGTCCCATCGCTTCTTTCACTCTCGTGATGCTACGTTCGACGAGTCTGTCTCCTTTTACCACCGCTTTCCCCACGGAGGTCTCTCGGTTTCCCCTCCCCGGTTTCTGGTACCCACTCCCCCGGTAGCCCCTGCTCCCCTTCCTCCCCGCCTTGCTCCGTCTGGTGTGTCTCACGTCACTCCCCTCCCGTCACTTGTCCCGGTCGAGGCGTCGGCTGACTCTGGTGGCCCCGCGGCACAATTCTTGCCGCCTGCCTCTCCCTTGATGTCTCCTCCTCTGCCGTCGCAGTCGCGGCTGCAGCAGCCGCCGCAACCGTCGTCGTAGCCGTAGCAGCCGCCGCCGTCCGTGGACTCTGGAGGTGCTCGCGTTGAGGAGGGTGCTAGTCCTGGGGTTCCTATTGTGGCTTGTCCCGGTGGAGTGGCACAGGTGCTGGACAGAGTTCTCAATCCGGGGGTGCTCGTTCTGGGGGTGCTGTAGTGGAGTGTTTCGGTGGAAGCCGTGGTGCACCTGGCGGTCCAGGTGTCGGCGTCGAGCAGCGACAGTAGCAGTCGCCGCTGGTGAACGCCCTTCGCCTGCTCGGCCTTCCCTCCCTTGACCGCTTGCCTGTGGCTCCCCCGGCCCCTTCTCCTCTTCCTGTTTACGGCCTGTATTCCCTCCACTAGACTCGTCTCCGGTTCGTGTTCCCACTCGTTCCCCTCTTGTGTCTCCTCTTTTGTCTCCTGACCGGACACCTCTGTCTCACGTCTGGTCTCGCCATCCCTCTCGTGCCTGTCCAGTCTCTCTTACTCAGTGTTCTCACCCTATGTTGCTTCGTTCCCACGCGTCTCGTCCTCCCCTCCTCCCGTCGCCTCCTCCTTCGTCGCTCGTTTTTGCGCCCCCCCCCCCCCTAGTCGGGCTGCCTTCGTGCCGCTTGTTCCTCGGGTTCTTGCCTCCCTCGTTACCGACCCGTTTGCTACTGTTTCGAGTCTTGACGCTCTTGTCGCTGCTGTCACTGACTTCGCCTCTTACCACCGCCTTGACTACGCCACAGCTTTGGTCTCTGACCCTGTCTGCCCTCCGTCCGTCGGGGGTTCTCCTGCCCTTGGCAGTGATGTCCAAGAGGACAGGCAGTACGAGCTTGCTTTCCTGTCTAAGGCTGCACCCCATCTCTGTTCCATGTTGCTAGTCCCTGAGGGTGACCCAGACGCCTTTGACATCCCGACCCCTCGCACTTACGCTGAGGCCACCTCGG